CAAACCCGAACCAACCCTAAACCCCTACACCCTTGTGGTGCCTTAAACTTCAAGCCCACAGCCCGAACCTGAACCTTTGCGAGGCCTTAAACTCCAAACCCAAAGCCCGACCCCCTAAACCCTGAACCGCTGCGGGGCCTAAAACTCGAAACCCAAAGCCCGAACCAATCCTAAACCCCTAAACCCTTCAACCCGAACCCTTGTGGTCCCCAAACCTCCCAGGTGGTACTAGGGAGACCCCTGAAAGGAGACCCTTCTTGACCCTACCTTTTGGGCTCTCTTAAACACGAGACCTTATTGAGAGGGACTAGATCCCCAAAGGTCCTTATCCTGACTTCTAAGGTTAGAAGTATGGGCCCCTGATATGGACTTCGGGCTTTGTAGGGACCCTTAAAGGTACGTATAGGGTATATAGTCGGTGTATAAGGATCTCAGGGTTAAGGGCCCATACTAGGGGCCCATGGTTGCAACCCTTCTTCGCGACTTCGGAATGGGGCTTAGAAGGCTTAGATTTAGGGTCTGGGGTTTATGGTCAAGTTTAGGGTTGAAGGTGAAGGGTTCGGCATTTTTTGGGGTTTGGGGCTTCGGGTTTGAGATTTTTTGGGGTTTAGGGTTTCGGGCTCTGGTGGATGACTAATCGAAGGCTGGTGAGTAATGTCTGGTCAGTAAGTCTCCGAGTGTTGGCTGGTAGAGATAAGGATCTCTGAAAGCGTCCCTACCAGGGTTTAGGGTTTAGGGTTTAGGGTTTAGGTTCTACACCGAAGTCTCTGTAGGGGCTCGACAGGTGTATCAGGGTTTCTAGAGACGCTGGGAGGGGATGCTTGAAACAGATCTGAGATCCGAAGCCCAAAAACCCTAAACCCTAAACCCTTAAGCCCTAAACCCTAAAACCTAAACCCTAAACCCTAAACCCTAGGGTTTGCTTGTTGCGAAGCTTGCTGCTGACACGACAAGGGGCCCTTAAAAAAAACCTGAGCCCTAAACCTTAAACCTTGAACCCTAAACCCTAAACCCCTAAACCCTAAAACTTAAACCCTAAACGCTAAACCCTACACCCTAAACCCTAAACCCTAAACCCTAAACCAACCCAGCCCTGGCTTTCCCGGAGCCTGCAAGCCCCAAACGCAAACCCGGGACTCTAGATCCTGACCCTCCCCAAACCCTACACCCTAAGCCCTAGACCATAAACGCTGAACCCTAAACCCTAAACCCTGAACCCTAAACCCCAAAGCTTCAACCCTAAACCAAACGTTTGTGTCCACCGCCGGCTCGCAGGACGAGCTGGGCTTAGATGGGAAGGATGAGGCAGGCCTTGGGCGAAGCCTTTAAAGACCGAGCCGAAGGGTGCTTAGGGTTATAGTAGAGTCCAGAAAGTTGGAACATTATTGTTCTCATCCCCTGAAGGTAAAGCATGGCAAATCCTAGCACAAATCTTCCTCCCCAAAGCCCTATTCTAATTATGAAGGTGCATACATTAGCAGCAGTAGTAAAACAGAGTAGTACATCAGGGAAGGTTGTAGAAGTCAAAGAAGGTAGGGTTAAGATTAGAGGCTTGGTGAGTGTATGCAGAGCTCCTTAGGAAAATCCTTGTTGGGGGTGCTATTATGGAGGTGCTGGTCATGGAAATCCTGTTCCAGTGTTTGAGTGTATAGGGTCACCACCCACCCTCCCTGCGATTTATTGATTGATAGGCAGCTGGATAGATCGCCAGAAGGCTAAACAGGCAGATCGACAGGTAGAGATAGATACATCGATAGGTAGATCGATAGATAGGTAGGCAGATACAGATAGATCAATCACCAGATAGATAAAGGCAGTCACACTGAGATTTTCGTGGGGAGACTGTGAAGGTTCGTTCAGTTTGCGGTTTGTGTGCTTTCGCTTCCCGCTTAGAGCCAGAACCCCAAGCCATAAAGCCAGCCTTGCATGCTAAACCGAATTCAAACTCCCGACTCCGAATTAGAGCATCACTTCTCCTGGTTCGACCCTGGGCGCCAAACCCCAAGGGTTTAGGGTTTAGGGTTTAGGGTTTAGGGTTTAGGGTTTAGGGGTTTAGGGTTTAGGGTTTAGGGTTTAGGGTTTATGGACCCCCAACCCCAAACCATAAACCCTAAACTTCCGGAAGGAAGAGCACTGCGGGGCCTGGCTTACAAACTGCTGCTCCTCCCATGCTGCCCATGCCAAGCAGTCACTTGCTGGGCTCCAGCCGCTGCGGTCGATGACGCCTCTGGGATCGCAAGATGAAGTGAGTGATGTAGACCACAGGTTCATGAACCTCCCTCCCTTAATGAGGAATCCAGGTGTTTAGGGGTTGTGGACTTGGTCGTGGGTTATATTGAAAGTGAATGAATGCAGGAAAGTCTTAATACAGTCGTTGTGCTGCCATGGCTATAAAATACAATAGTAATTGAAGCAGCAATACAGGCGTGGAGTGCTAGTGTCCTACAACAGCATACGAGCACTTCGTAGGATCGTAGAACATTGTCATTGTTTGGCAATCTTGAAGTGATCCCGAAAGATTAGCATAGCAGAACATTTCGAGTTTGGGTTTAGGGTTTAGGGTTCACTGGTCTTGGGGCACTTACTTAAGCCTTGAAAAGTAGGTAAAATAATGGCCCAAAACCTGTAAAGGCTGTTGTTTTACATACTTTTGGGGTCCGGGTAAGGTTAGTTAAGGGGTTTTCGGGGTTAGAGTGTACCTAAACCCTAAACCCTAAACCCTAAACCCTAAACCCCTAAACCCTAAACCCGAAACCCTAAACCCTAAACCCTAAACCCTAGGGGTTTTCGGGTTTAGAGTGTAGCGTTCGGAGATCTCAGGCTTTGGTCTTTTGTGGGGTTCGGGGGTCGGATCAGGACTCCGTCTTCAATGTCGCACGGTTTAGGGTGTAGGGGTTGGGGCTTTTAGGTTTGGGGTTTGGGGTTTTTAGGTTTTAGGGTTTTAAGGCTTGGGGTTTAGGGGTTTAGGGTTTAGGGTTTAGGGTTTTCGGGTTTGGGGTTTTGGGTTTTAGGGTTTGGGGTTTAGGGCTTTAGGGTTTCGGGTTTAGGGTTTAGGGCTTAGGTCTTAGGGCTTTAGGGTTTAGGGCTTTTGCTCTTTTTTG